CCGGCCCCTGCTTTTTAATTTTGACCTGCGCTATTAGAACTGACCTGAATCTGCGTGCCTGGTTCAGGTCAGGATTGTCAAGTTCTTCTGGAAAATGTTTAGGGCCTCGGGGAATGAGAGGTGGGTGGACCCCCCCACCCCACTCTGACAGCCAGACCAGCCACCTCCTATTTGAGCCAGGTGACACAGTGGGGACGCTGCATCAGGCCCCCTGACTTTGTGTTCATGCCAGGGCCCACATCGCCGTCCCAGCAAACCACATACCCTAACCCCCGCTTACTATTCTTGAAATGCTTTATGCAAATGAACAGATCCTACTGTAGATTATAATAGAGTGCTCAGGAGGACAACTCCAGAAAGATATTTAAAATGCTAACTAACAGCTCCAGGTTCAGAACTTAAGTTAACCTACACGCACCTCCACACACCATGTATACTGAGGGATATTTAAAGGGCCACGCAGACAATAAAACAGTCACTCTCTGGTTACTGATCCCCCAGTAACCAGTAATTTTTCTACCTTAACACCTTCTTCTCTCTCATTTGCATATTCTAAAAACCTTCTAGACAGCAGAGGCCCACGCCGACTACGAAGACCCCTATATTACTAAGATTTCCCCTTTATGTCTCTCAATATTCTCTCTCTACAATGCAGGAAGTCACGGGTTTTTCGCCCTCACTCCTGATAAAATTAATCTGTGCCCTGGAACCCACAAAAGGGAGGCCACCCAGTGGTCCAGCCCCAGTCACAAACCTCAACCCAAGCCGGGCTGCATTTATGGAAACACCTGTCAAGGAAGCCTGACGTCCACCAGTCACAGCCCCCCAACTCAGCTCTAGCTGGCTCACCTGACTCTCAAAAACGGGACCTCCTGGCCTCCTAGCCCATCAGCCCTGTTCCCACGTTGCCTCTACCAAAGCTCCCTAAAAACCAGCTCTTGCCTCAAAGGCACTGCACCCCCGGCCCCCGGATTGTCTCCCCTTGAATAAAGGACATCAGGCTCCTTACTAAATTGCATTCATTTTGTCACTTGACATTTCCCACATTCAATTCCTAAGCCCTTTCAATTTTACTTCCAAACGATGTCAAACCCAAGTGCTCATGTCCTCTGCCACCATCCCAATCCACCCTCCACACTGCAGCCAAAATCAACCGACCACATAGAATTCAGACGGTGCTTCGTGGTTTAATTCTGTTCCTGGCACAAACTGAAGTCCTGTGCGGCCTGGTCCTGCCTGCCTCTCTAGCCATGTGGCTGACTCCACCTGGTGGGGGGGCGGGGGCGGNGATAGAAAGAAGTTGGCTTTATATGGCAAGATGGAAACCTCTCAAACTCTTGGTTTCCTTGATCTTTTTGTTTCCATGAATTCCACCCAAAAGGGTTCAATGTGTAACACCTTGAAATGCCCTCAGGTAGTACCTGGCTTCTTCAAGGACTTTCCCCATCACTTGTTTTTTTTCTCCCTGGTTCACATCTTCGTTTAAATCGGTTCCACCGAAGATGATGCCAAACGGAATTCCATGACCTGCAAAATTAGGACAGTTAACGAAGCAGAGGGCAGCCCTGGGGACAGCCCTCACCAACCCATCCCAATGCAGTAATCCTAAAAACCAAAGCTCGCAGGACACGGGGAGCAAGCTTTGTTGTTTGTTTAGTTTTACCCAGCTCTGCCGAATGGTAGGCTAGGTATCACTGTGATAAACATGACCTGGAGACACCGGCCACCGTTGTCAGGACTGCTTGAAATCAGTTTGCTTTAGATTTCCACAATGAATAATAATATTGTTTGCCACCATCTATCAAAGCCAACCTTATCATTCCTGAGAAATGGGCTCATCTGGAACGATTACCGGGTGTCTGACAGAAAAAGACCTCTTCAAATTGAGTCCTGCCGTGGATCATACTAACAGGCGCCATGGAGGAAGGTGCAAAGAGGGAGATGAAGGGGACGCAGACGGCACAGGCATGACAAATCATGGCGGGACCCCCAAAACACTCGAGGTGCTGCGTGTGCAAAGCGTGTGAGGATTGGGACGGGAGCATATTTGTTGAGTATCGTACTATGGACATGTACCTTTTCCAAAAATACACACAGACAGACATCGAGAAGCACACCCAATACAGACGACTCCCATCCTGCCGTGGGTTGAGACTTCTGGGGATGCTGAGATAGGGTGAATGATGTTAGCATGTGGGATGGACATGAATCTCTGTGGACCAGAGGGGTGGGGCCTGTGGTAGGTAGAATAATGGCCCCCCCAGGATGTCCCATATCCTAATTCCTGGAGCCTATGAAGATGTTACAGGGGAAATGGGAATTCAGCTTAGCTAGAACTGAGGTTGCTAATCAGCTAACCTCAACGTGGGGGAGATTATCCTGGGTAATCCAGGTGTGCCAGTGGAATCACAGGGTCCTTAAGTGTGGAGGGAAGAAGTCAGCATGATGGCGTGTGAGAAGACTCGACTGGCCCCCGACTGCCAGCTGTGAAGTTGCAAGGGGGCCGTGACCCGAGGAGTGTGGGAACAGTAAGCAAACGGATTCCCCACAAGAGCTTCCGACCAGAGACAGCCCTGCCCTGCCCACATCCTGGTGTTAGCCCAGCAAGATCCACTTCAGCTTTCGGACCTCCAGGACTGCAGGACAATAAATGTGTCTTCTTTTCGCCCCTGGGTGTGTGCTACCTTGTTACAGCAGCAGTAGGAAGTTATTTCTATCGCCACTGAGAAACAACGTCCCCTCATAAAAACCTGCTACTTGGAGGACGCTAGGGAAAATGGCAGAGAAAAGTCTCTTTTGGTAAAACTGCGAAACGGGAGAGCTCATTTTCTAAGAGCAGGTGCTGTGGTTTGATTTCACTATTTGCTATGAACCAAGAGCTCACACTCTGTGAAGCTGCATTATATAATCTGCAGCTTTCCGACAGGTGGAGACGCAAATGGTTCCTGTGCAGCTGTGATGGTCAATGTTACGTGGCAACTTGACACCCAGAGCTCTGGCAAAACATTATGTCTGGGTGTCTCTGCGAAGGTGTCTCTGGGAGAGATTAGCATTTGTACCAGTAGACTTTAAGGTCACCCTCACCTGCACAGGTGGGCAGCACAAATTCCATCGAGGGTCCAAAAAGAACAAAAAGGCATGGGAAGACATAATTCAGCCCAAGCTGGGACATCCATCTCCTCCTGCTCTCGGACCACAGCACCCCTGGTTCTCAGACCGGACCAACACCATCAACCCCCTGGTTCTCAGGCTTTGGACTCGGGCTGAACTACTCCACCAGCTCTCCCGGGTCTCCAACCTGCAGACGGCAGGTCACGGGACTGCGTGGCCCCCACAGCACCTGAGCCAATTCCTATAGTAAACCTCCTCTCTCACGTCTCTCTCGGTCCTGTTGGCTCTGTTTGGAGAAGCCTGACTCGTACACCAGCAGAAAATATAGCCCCCGTCGGACAGGGGTCAGTTCTGCGGCGAGCCTAGCAACCTAATTCTAATATTCTTTATGAAATCGCTGATGCTCTTTAAACTCTCTTCAGCATCTTCGTAGTTTCCGCATTTGTAAATCAGTGCAATAACGTCATTTGCGGCGCCCATTCTGTACTTTGTAAAAGAGTCCTCTTGTCAACTTCTGAACATGATACTTCGAGTTAGGGAAAGAAAGACACACGGAGAGCATTCAGGGTGATGCCCCTCTGGCAGTAAAAACAGCATCTACATTAATCCGTTCTCAGTTGGCAGAGTGATACCACTTTAGAAAATTACCAGTAAGGAAAACAAACCAGAACGACAACTGTGTTCCCTTGTGGAAGCGGGTTAACGGGAGGAGCTCTCATGGGTGTTTGGTTGGACACTGGAGGTGCTCTGGTCTCCACGATTCCTAGCGCTGCACCATGGGAGGGAGAGGGTTACCTTGCAAAAGCCGGCCTCCTCGGTACAGGTGGAGAGCCAGGGCCGCCTCGAGGGCCTCAGCCTGGATGAGGTCTGCGATCTCGGATGGGCTGTTGAAGTCAAAGGCATCCTTCAGAATACACACGTGACCTGCGGCTTCTAGATGGTCCCTTTATCAAAACATATGGGGTGGGGGGAG